CTGCTCATAGGATCGAGGACTACTACACCAGGGATAGGTACAGTACTTCAGTCGACCGTTTACATAATTTTTGCGCAATATATTCCTCGAGAGTATTTCTGTTTGTATCATGCATGTTATTCTATTTGCTCGATGGTCCCCTTTCTCGCGGAATTTCTTCATTGATTCTCTTGACCCTTCCTTTGAATATTCTCACCCGAGTGCTGAAATACCGGTACCTAATTTACACTTGAGTACGACCCTTTGATTTCATTGCATCTGGGATCCACGCAAGTGTTGCTTCAATTGCTCATTCGACGTTCTGAGATGATCCCACTGGTGGGATAAAAAAATGAAAAGTGGGAAAAAGAAAAACACGCGTAACCTAACATGAAACGAATCGTAAAACCAAGTATGACTAAATTTTCATAACCTAAGTTCACTTGAATGTAAGAAAGCAAGTACAGTAATGGAAACTGCAGGCGACACCTGTGCACCGGAAAAGGGCATTAGTGGACAGGGTGCTTAACATTCGAGTGGAAATATATAAAATCATTGTTCAGTTTCCCAAAATTTCTTTGGTGCATACATGATGTTAAGATTGTTTTGATATCTAGCTCTAAAAAGAAGAAAAACCTGTACCGTACTTGAATATTGTGAGTCTCGGCATAACAACAGACTCACACAACGAAAAATAAAAAAAATCCTTGACTCATTAGATGAAATTTTTTGGCTAATTGACTCGAATTTCGGCAAGTTTTGTGCTAAAATTTCAGAGTTTGAAAAAAAAGCGAGAAAAACTGTAGGAGAGGGGTATGATTTTTCCTCTTCTCGCTTTTAAAATTGGTTAAATTCGGTGAAGGCACAAACTTGTCAGGATTACCTAAACTTAACACTGATGAATTTTAAATTCATAATATGCAGTTATTAAGTTTTTTTACGTGGCTTTTGCGAGCTTCTGAAATGAATTGATTCATTCATAATATGTAACCGAATAAGGGAAATCGCGTTTTTCATTTTAAAAAATGCCATAAAACGAAGCGGAACGGATCACTTTTGCTATATATGTGGGGACCCACCGTACGTAATTTTATAAAAGTCTTTAGTTCTTTTTTGTTATTGAGTGCATTTGATTCTTTTACTAAATTGAGTACACTCATTCTTTTACAGATCTACTCCCCGTGAAGATGCATACTGGGGATTCCGAAGTGACATTACTGCTTCTTTCGGCGTTGAAGAGGATGGCGTCACGACCATTGCTTTCAGAAGGAAGTTGGACGGTAAATTATCCCTAAAAATTTTCTCTAGCTTAGAAACATAAAATGATCGCTTTCATTATTTTCTTGGCGAATCACTTCGATCTCTTTTGATGACCTGATGGCTTTACAGTACGAATTTAGAAGATTTCTATTGAATATTGAGGGTATTCAAGCTATTCAAGAAGTACCGTATTCACGCCAATATGAACACCCTTTTTTTTAATTTCAGGACCTCAGAAACTGGGAGGGTGCTTATATTTTTCATGATTATTTGATTTGTCTAAATAAAAGAAGCCCCGTTTTTTCAATATCCAAGTCACAGGAGCAATCAAAATAAATGGAAATACTTCGTTTTCATAAAAATAATACTGTACATCATTTTTACCATTTGTTTTCTATTATTCAAATAATACGAAATCGAAGTATAATATGCAGATAAGGAATGCCGTGTACATTACAGATGATCCTTGTTCACGTTTCCTTGACAACATCAAGCCTTCCCTGGGAAAAACTTATACTTATTCTGAAATTTTGGGTTCTTGGAAAGGCAGATCATCAGCAAAGTAGAAGGATGATTTTATGTTCGAATCTCGATAAGTCGAACCTCCCTAAGTCGAATTTTTTTTCAAGTCCCTGTCTGAATTCCCTTAGAAACCATGCACGGAAATCGTGGCCTCTAATTCGAAGGCCTTTCCTCTCGCAAGTCTGTAACTCGAATTTTCTGAAGCCTTTTGGTCGATATTTTCTCCACAGAGGAAAGAGAGAGAAAAATAAGTAACGCGATGTGTTTTGAAAAGAAGTAAAAGACGTATTGGGCGAATGAGCCTTCAGCATCCTGTCAACTCATTTAAGAAGCAGTTTAATGCCCAGAATATTACCATTGACAATTTCTTGCAATTCTTCAATGCTTCCGCCTAAAAAAATGCTTTTTTTCCTGACTCGGAACTTTTTTTGCTGGGGCCTTGAAATTCGACTCGGAGAAGTACGACTGCTGTATTTGCGTTGATCGGATTTTTATATGCAAATGCGTATTTATTTATGTAGCGAGTGAACCGACTGACCACTCGATCGTGGACGATGAAATGACAGTCATTTGGGCTCGTGGTCAAGAGCCCGGGATGTACGTGCATTCCCCTGCTTCCGGACTGGAGCAAGGTGCAGCCAGTGATCCCGACTTTTATCGACCGGACGAAATCAAATACCACGGGAAAAAGGACCAGCGAGGCGTTATTTCTCTCAATTTCTATCGTGAGTACGATATATGTATCCATCCTGAAGCCCGCAAAATTTTTTGTCGAAATAAAATGCCCTTCTCTTCGATAACAACTTCAGTCGGGTCATTCAACTTCCTAAAAGATTTAGTTCGAAAATTGCGAATTGATACTGCATGCATTTTGGAGGATGGAAATCGGTTAGTTTTTTTGCTGATCAGTCGTAAAATTGTTCTATATAGAATTTTATTTGCCTGTATACTTTGGCTGTGTAAGTTTGCTACTCGAAACTTTAGTGCTGTATCACCAGAAGGGGTTGAATAAAATCATCCTTCTAAAGAATCGGAAGCCGTGTTGCATGTTTATGCGGACGAATTTTGTAGAGGATTGCCNGGCGGCTGTTTATGAAAATGGCGGAATTACCTTGGAAGACCTGGAGGCAGCCCTTGGAATTAATGCCACGTTGATTTCAAAAATTCTGAGGGGAAACCTGGGCTAAAAAAAAAAAACAATCTGCAGGAAGGGCGCCTCATCTTTTGAGTGGAGAGCAAAACTCTGCCAGGGTGATTTGCAAAACATTCAAAAAAATTGTCAAACAGGGCTGCTTTTTTTGTATGCCAAAGAATATGTTTTCCCTAAGGAATAATTTTGTTTCAGCTGGATTGTGCGCCATTTTAATTCCTATTCCGAGAACTTATGTTTGAACCCTGGTATATTTACAGTTTAGCCTCGATAACTCAAGCCTTCCCGAGTCGAATACAGTACCTCCCTATATGTCAACTTATTTTCAAGTCCTGTCTCAATTCCCGTATAAACAATGCATTAAAAACCTTCTCAACTTGAAGGTTTTCCCTCTCAAACCTCCATAAATCCAATTTTCTGGGGGCCTTTTGGCCATTATTTTATTGACGCAGGAAAGATAAAAGCACTAAAAATTTAAGGGAGTGATTTGAAAGGAATGGAAAAATTAACCCTTTCCTCATCCAAGTTCAGCATCCTATCAACTCATTTAAGAATCAATTTGAGACCCAGAATGTACTTGTAACCTATTACGATTACTTCCTCTAATTACTCTTAGATTCCCTAAACGAAAATGCTCCTTTCCCTGACTTAAAACCTCTCTAACTCATTTTTTTTCTACTGGTCCCGTGAAATTTGACATTTATTTATGCATAACTTACATTTTTTTATGGAGAGGCAGTGATATTAGGCGCGGAATTTTGCGGTGGGATTCATTTTCTATAGTACTTCTAGGCTGAATTGCGAGCGAAGGTTACAAAATTTATCTTTTAAGGTAAAGTAGAATTACTGTGATTTGTTGCCAATTTTTTTAAATGACCTCAAACTTGTGTCCTTCGCCGACAGAAATGGCGCGTAATTGCTGGAAACGGATTTTATGATGCAAATTGCAACAGTGACCCTTATTTCAGATTTTTATTTTCCGTTGCCTTTGTAAAAATTTGTAAAACTGGCGCATTTTCTCTGTCCACAAGTTTTCTAAAACGATCGATACCTGGTGATAATCTTCGTTTGCCGCCGAGATTTTGCCGCACGTTTTCATGAATAAATGACCCTGTGTTTTGAGCTTTATTTTCTGCAAATTTGAAATTTTTAGATTTAAAAATCAATGATAGATGTTTGAATAAAATGGGTATGACGGTATCACCGGTTACGTTTTTTAAAAAGGTTTTTAAAGCTTTTTAAGTATCTATCGAGATTCGAAGGAAGGAGAAGGCAGAATTGAACGACTCTTCGGCTTAGAAAAATGTTTGGGTTCCTGAAAAAATCAGGGGAAATGGCAGAGAGATGTTGAAGGTGTTTCAAGATAAACTTTTTTGTATCAATTTCGGTATTCTGCTGTCATTGTCCGTGCTCGACTTTTTTTTAAACTAAAAAATATATATAAGTAATGCCAAGCCTTATGCAGTATTAATTCGATTAAATGCGGGTAAATGAATTTCATTTCACCGATACAAACAAAATCATGTGATGAAAAATGTACCTTACGAGTACTGTATATGTCTAAAAGAAGTTCATTTGAAAAATCAAGGTTTTCCCGCAATTGAACGTCTGCATCGAAAAAAAAAGAACTCGTAAAAATTTCGCTTGGCCGCTGTTCGGAATTCGGTCGAATTTTTCCGCCATTTCATCCAAAAAATATTTTAGATTCATCGGAATAAGGAACTTACTGTGCTGTATTGTTTTATAGGGGCAAAGCGATGCTGTGTTGGGATGGATCGATAGGTCAGGTCGTGCCTTCATCGCCGACATGTGGATAAAGGGATACACAGCTCCGGAACTCGACAGCAACCAGGACATAAGTGACACGTCCGTCGTTCTCGAAGATGGCGTCGTGACAGTCAAGTTCACCCGTCCACGTGTCTCCAAAGACTCACAGGTTTGTTGGCGTCAATAACAATCTATTTTTAGACAAGATGATTTTCAGCTTCAGTTATTTATTCATGGCTTGATGTTGTTATTCATTCCTCATGAATATAATGTATATCAACTTCTCTCGAAGATATTGTGTACTGTATACGCATTTTTATAGACGTAGAATGTGCATAACCTCGTTCTTTTTCTCATTAGCGCCTATTTTTATTCCGTCGTCTCTGCATAAAAAGCAAGGGGGACATGCAGTACTTGAAAAACATCATTCGAAGCAATTTTTAGCAACTCATCGTTCATCATTTAGAAAGAAACACGATATGTTTTTGAAGGAGGAAAGCACGATTTTTTTTTATCGTCTCTAGTGGATAAATGCCAACGCTTCTGAAAATTATACATCCATATTCTACAAACTTTATTATTTCGACCTCAATAAACGCTTCATTCGTCGTAAATTGTAAATCTCGAGCAGAAGAAAAACAAGTAATGAAAATTTACTCAGATGCTGATGGGTGTACTTTTATTTTTTGCAGGATCAATCGTTGGACGAATGCCTGCACTTTTTGTATCCGATCAAGGGCGGAGATGTGAAAGCTGTCAGCAAAAAAATTGGCAAACATGACGCACGTCCAGAAGTTTCTGATCAAAAGATCTGCATTCGTTCTTGTCGCTCTGGTGCCGATGTTCCTGGCGACAGTTCAGATGAAACTGGTTAGTATGTACAGTATAATATAAAATCGGAGCATCTTTATGGAAATTTCAGCGTTTTTTTTTTTTTTTTAATATTGTGGAACATTTTTGAATACAGAACGGACAAGGACGCGTTTTTTTTTATTCACTGTATTTACGTGACTGCTGCTGTTTACAGTCCGAATCCCAACTCCGAAGCGGAGAAGTCATTTATTCAGGAAAAAATCTGTGCAGGCCGCAAAAAAATTCGAAATTTTGTGCAGAACTCAGCATATTTGATCTTTTAGATGCCCGGAAAAACAATATAATCACGCCTCCTGTCTATTATTTTTGAAGAAAAATTCATTATTTTGGCTCGAATTAATTAAATTCCCTTTAGATTGACACTGAGAAAGTTGCCAATAACTGAAGATGTGCGTAGTATTTTTTGTCTTCAAGCAGTTTTTGTTCCATATTTCGTTAATCATTAAAAATCATTAAATCATTTCTAAATCATTAAAAAAATAAAATAAAAGTATATTTGAGATAATTCATTTTTTTTACTCAGTTATTTTAACTGAGTAAAAAAATGAATTATCTCATCTTGGCTGATCTTGGCCACGATTTTTTTTTGGAAGAAACGCGCGGCGTATGACCAATGCTGTGCCAAAAATAAATTGACGAAAAGGATTTAATTTTTTTTCGCATGAATAACAGGGTCGAAAGTTCGCGTGACAACAGCGAGGACAACAACGACGACCACGGCCAAGCCGCAAATGATGATGGATGTCGAGCTGAAGTTCATCGACGTTGGGGATGATTTCAAAATCCCGCGAAAAAATTCGCCGGAATTCAATGAACTATCTGAGCGTGTCAAACGCAGCGTGACTTCAGCTCTCACATCGGTTCCTGGCTTTGAAGACGTTTCTGTTTCGGACTTTGAAGAGTGAGTCCAATCATATCTAAAAATTTGATGAAGTCTTGCTCGAGAACGTTAATCCAATTTTTTGATGAAAGAATAGGGACCCTCATTGTTAAATCAGCGACGCAATTCGCGCGTAGACTTTGTGATATGCTTACGTGGGATTCATGCATCGCAAACCTTGAACGAAGTGATTATTTTTTCTCTCATTCGTTTCTGATTCTCCAAAGTGAGGTATCGATCATTTGATCTTGTAAAAAAAAAAACGTCGACTTTGTAATTTAATGTTTTTAATGTACCGAAAATTCTTCCCAAATCAACGATTCTGGCGATTTTGCAATTGATTTCCGTGGGACTTTATGCTGCTCTCATGCCTTTTGCCATAAATAATGTGCAGTAAAATATTCCTGCCTTCGGATCTTTTAAGGGTTCATTCGATTCTATGGTGTTCTATTCAAAAATTAGGGATTTTATGTGAAATTAATGGTTCAATAATTAGCAGCCCGCGTCGGGTTGAGTGAGTTAATTTATTCCTGCTGAATTTTCTTGTGAGAGATTTTTCCGATTTATTTCAAAATCCGGGACCATTCGTAGATTTATATTCTTGAAATCCTTCATTCTTTTCAATGTTTTACAAAGGCGGAAGAGCGATTTCGGTCCGGTGACTTATTTTGCAGCGAGTTTCTTCTCGATGCATGTAGGAAAATTTCGAAAGAATCGAATTCGTCACTGCTTTTTTTTTTTATCCTCAGCTGTCTTGAATGAAATATCGTACCGTATCTAAAGACTCATTGTTCCATTGATAAAATGTAACACTATTTTCATTCAGGTCGGAAGAGAAGGAATTGATAGCGAAGCTCGTCGTGACACTGGACCACGACACAGTGAGTAAGGAATACAAGGGAAGAAAAACTGGCGGCGAGTCAGAGAAGGCGAAGGCAATGGTGAAACAGGCTCTACAAGACAGTGTCGAGAAGGGACATGTTGGCGAGCTTCGTGTGGATCCTCAATACCTGATTGTTGGCAATCCAGTTGGTAAGGAATACCGTGTTTTCTTCACTTTCCATTTTTTAAATGTGTCAGTAAAACCCAGACAATAGTTGTGGCATAAATTAATTTTGTACTCAATTTATTGTGAAATATTGTTGCAAGAAATATTGACGCCCAATGCATTATTTGTCAAGTGACTCGCAAGAAGCCTTTTTTTCTTAAGGGGTGCAACACATGCCTATTTTACACTTCTTTTTTTTTAATGTGAAAAAATCAGAAAAATAAAAATTGTATTTTTCAAGAGACAGTGTGTTCCTGAGTATAGCTCAAGAAGAAATTTCAATAAAGCACAATGTCGAAGTTTTCAACACGCTTTGAAAAGTAAGAAAACGCCCAAAAGAAGGACAATTCCGCCATTATGAAATATACAAACGCACGATTCTTCTGATCTGAGTGCCAAGAAGGTGGAATTTAACTTTCTATGCAATAAAAGGTGATTTGCTTGTAATCATATTTTACCCTGCAATTCAGCTTTTTCAACTAAATTTTGATTTGGAATTTGAGATAATTTTTCGCCGGAAATGTCTTGATTAACTAGCTTTTGTTTCGTCAACTGAGTGATTTTTTTTCCGTTGGGAACAACGTCTTGACCAGGTTTGTCAATATGTTCTAATTACTGATTACTGCATATTTTATTATTATTAACTTCAGTACTACTTTTCAGGGCATGAAAAGTAATGGTATGAGACTGGCGCCAACAAATGATCAATTTTAAGGCACTTAAAACACAAAAATCGGTCAAACTGGAAAATTTATTCCTGGTACAAACCTCGCAATACCGTGCTTTTATGATTTTAAAAAATTTCAGACAGGGACAAATGAATAAATTATCTTTAGCAACGATATGCCAGACGTCTGTAATTTTGCCGAGTTTTTGAATCATTTTTGGCCACCTTGAAAATAATCAAGCTCTTTTTTTTTAATGATGACGAAGGTTTTTGTTTCGCAGTATTGAATGAATCCCTCGTTTTATTTATTTATTTATTTTAGTACAAAACGAAACTGCAGCGACTCGAGTGGCCTCAATCAGCGATAGTCAACTCAAGCTGTACATTGTGATTGGATGCATCGCGTTTTTGGTGCTTGTGGCTGTGATGCAAGCTTCATGTTCAATTTATCGGCTCAACAGACGCAGCACAGCTTCAAAGGGACACAAGGTATGTTTTTAAAAAAATTATTCATCACCAATTTTTAGTTAGTCCCTTTTTGAGCCTATCTTTCACTTTTAAATCGCAGAAAAAAATTTATCGCATACGATTTTAAAGAGAAACTACTCATGTTTAGGTAAAAGATAGCACTCTCATATCCCGTATTTTTGTCCGTCTCCGCTTATTTGTTTTCATTATTTGCTTTGTGAGTTTCTGGCTTAATTGCTGATAGCCATAAATCGTTCAAAATTGACATCAGGAAAGTGGATTTGTAAAGTTTCTCAACTGTATTAAGAAGTTACCGTTTCCTTCTCTGCTTTTCAAACTTTGCTTTCGACCTTCTATGAGACGAGTTCGATTAGTTTGTGGCATTTACGCCTTTGTAGTGTTGAGATGATTACCTTGCTAAATGGTATCTTCCATTTTGTTTGAGTGCCACCATTACCAGGTTGTACTCGAAAATTATAAGACGTCATCGACCATAAAATATGCCGTATTTTTGCGTGCCTTTAAAATTGAAATAATTTCCTCTGAAAACGTGTGAGATATGCGTCAGGGGCATAAAAGAATTTTTATTTTAAAAGTCAGAGAATCTGATAACTATTTATTTTTCGATTACCGACTTCGTGAGCTCGAACATTTTCAACGAGAAAGCTTTCTCATGTCTTTATGTTTCCACGCACTGAAAATTGTTTCATCGGATTTATTGAATCAAATTAATGATTTATTCAACTCTTTTAGACTTTATTGCTTTTTAAAATAAATGCTTGATTCAAACGCGATTTATCTGTGAATGAAACACGCGTTCAAATTTTTATCAAGTCGAAGCCTACAAAAAATATGTGCGTCTTATATTCACGCAAATACGGTCTACTCAGAATAGCCCGTATCATTCAAATGAACGATACGGAAAATTTTGCATCGAGATTTATAGCTGTCAATATAAAGTTATAAACGGAGATCCTGCCGAATTAACGAGGGGATTTAATGCTAAATGTAAAATGGATTACCTTTTCGGAAAAACTGAATTGTTGATGGGAAAGTTTCAGAAAGATTTAGAGTGACAATAAGGCGCATTAATATCATCAGTGCGTAAATGGTGCCACTTCTTGAACGCAGATGAAACAGAGACGTTGTTGAGAAACATGCATTTTCGAGACAGGGTAGTTGCTTCGAAAAATAGAAAATCTTGAATTTTAAAACCCAACGAATGCTGTCCGGATTTGTGAAAGCTGCATTTTAATTGCTTATCGTAATTGAATTCAGAAAACGAGGATTTACGAGTACTGTACTGTATGTCCAATTCCAGAGGGAACAGGAGCTTATTGTATAGCCGTGCACCCATAGTACTGCAAACAATTTAGGAAGATAAGTCTTGGTTATCTTTTTTTTTTTTTTAAGGAGTAAGAGCTGTTTAATCACACTGCCGATGTTTAGATTGAAGCTACCATATCAAGCTTGTCAGGTAAACAGTACTGAAAATCTCATTGTCTATGTAATATTCTCTGTAAGTTTTAATTAAATTCCAAGTTCTTTAAAAAGTGTTCAACGGATATTATTCTTTTGAACTAAAGGAAGAATAAGTTTAATAAAGTTTTTTTTTTCAATAAGAAGTTCAGTGGCTATAAACAATGAAGTATAATTTATTTTGAAACATCTGATTGCAGCAAATCATTTTCAAGGTTCATGCGATATAGAAACAATATTACGAATCAGAGTCATAATATTTCACGTTGTCTTGCGTAAGAAAGGTTTTCATTGTTACAATATTCTGATGCATATGAACTGTAGTATAAAAAAAAATGGTGATAAAGGAAACCGAAGTTACAAAAGTATGCAATGACGTTTCTCATGATGTGAAAACTTTATACAACATGATTGAAGGAAGAAATCTTTTTTTGCTGCTTTAATGCATGACCCAAAATGCACCTCACGCGTAAATTGCAATTAGATATACAGTACCATGAGGTTCCATAACGTGTACCATGAGGTACCATAACATATACCATGAGGTACCAAAATGTATAAAATGAGATACCCTTACACACACAATGAAGTACCATTAATGTATCAAGTGGTACCATTGTGCACACCATGAGGCACCATTGTGCACACCAGGAGGCACCATTGTGCATACCATTAGGTACCATTACGCACACCATGAGGTACCATGAAATGCACCTTTAAGCACCATTAAATACAGCATGAGGTACCATTAAAAAAACCATGAGGTGCCATAAATATA